TATAGAAATAATCTATAAGCAAACCTACATAATAATTCATTTTTATTATTTCCAAGCCCTAAGAGTCCCCGATTAAAAATTTTTTAGTCATAAGCTGAGTTGCTTGCAGGATTTTCCTATTTAAGTTCGATATTATTGATAAATAATTTTAATTAAAATATTTGAAACAACATTATTTATGGGGTTCGACTCGAGTTAATGCTGGCTTATTTCTTATATAAATATTGCTAATTTAGATCGCAGTAATTTTATTAGACCCACCTCGGATTTGGGATTTACACAACCAAGACCAACCAATTAAACAACACCCATATCGATATTTTGTGTTAATAAAAATATACCTGACCCCCCACCCCCCCAGGACCTATACCCGCCCTGTATGAGTGATCATTATCATTATTATTATCATTACAAAAAAATATTTTTATTTCCATATAAAAAATATTAATTTTCACCCCCCCCCCCACTTTCACCCCCCCCCCCCATACATCCACCTCCAAAACCAAGTCATTCATACCCATCAAGATAAAAAATGAATACTTTCAATCTAAAGATATTTAGTTTAGAAGATTATATTTTACCCATATATCGATATTTTGTTTTGATAAATTATTCCTGACCCCCCAAGACCTAGTAAACCCGCCCTGCCCTCTTTCAGTCATTATTATTATTGCAATAAAAAATATTTAATTATTAACTTGTTTATTAAATCGTTACACGACACGACCCCGGGTCTGAACCCCGGGTCTGGACCCCGGGTCTGAACCCCGGGTCTGGACCCCGGGTCTGAACCCCGGGTCTGGACCCCGGGTCTGAACCCCGGGTCTGAACCCCGGGTCTGGACCCCGGGTCTGAACCCCGGGTCTGAACCCCGGGTCTGGACCCCGGGTCTGAACCCCGGGTCTGGACCCCGGGTCTGAACCCCGGGTCTGGACCCCGGGTCTGAACCCCGGGTCTGAACCCCGGGTCTGAACCCCGGGTCTGGACCCCGGGTCTGAACCCCGGGTCTGAACCCCGGGTCTGAACCCCGGGTCTGGACCCCGGGTCTGAACCCCGGGTCTGGACCCCGGGTCTGAACCCCGGGTCTGAACCCCGGGTCTGAACCCCGGGTCTGAACCCCGGGTCTGGACCCCGGGTCTGAACCCCGGGTCTGAACCCCGGGTCTGAACCCCGGGTCTGAACCCCGGGTCTGAACCCCGGGTCTGAACCCCGGGTCTGAACCCCGGGTCTGGACCCCGGGTCTGGACCCCGGGTCTGAACCCCGGGTCTGAACCCCGGGTCTGGACCCCGGGTCTGGACCCCGGGTCTGAACCCCGGGTCTGTGCTCAGAGCTGGTTTGGTCGATTTTTTAGACCCAAACCCCGGGTCTGGTTTTATACAACCAACCAATTAACAACACTAGATTGAGTATGAAGAAGTTCATGGATTAACCACTAGGATTGTTATCAAATTGTTACAAAGGTTATGGGCTAAATTTGGGATTCCCAAGACCATTGTGTCTGATAAAGGTCCGGCCTTTATAAGTGAAAATTTCAAAGATTTTTGTAATTCGTTGGAAATCAAACATGTATTAGCTCCACCATATCATCCCAGTTCCAATGGACAGGCTATCGTGAAAAATTGGATTAAAAAGGCCAAACAAGAGAATAATGATGTTTGGATGGCCCATTTATATTATAATAATTCAAAACGATGATAATAATTCACCATGCCCAAAAAAGATTGTACTTCAACTTTGTTACTTGGCTGATTCATATTAATATCTTTTTTAAATTTTTATCAAGAGGCTTCACTTCAACCCCATTAATCTGATGACAGAACACTTTTTTCTTTCCTAGCCCTCAAGCCCTTATTACGAATTCTCGTGAAAACTTCTTCAAGACGTTTATTATGCTGTTCTGGCCTCACCCCAGTTATCTCATCCATATAATAAAATACACCTTCTAGCCCCTGAAAAACAGATGCCATGGTATGTTGGAAAATAGGTGCTGACACACTTAATCCGAACGATAACCTGCAAAACGCAGATAATCCTTTAGGTGTAGTTATCGTTAATAATTTTTGAATTTCCTCCTTTAAAGGCAATTGTAAATAAGCTAACAAAAAATCAACTTTAGAAAAATATTTTGCACCTTTTAAACTAGCCAAAATTTCTTCAATTCGGTGCAATGGATATCTAACTTCAACAACCCACCTGTAGTTTTAACTTTCCATTATGTTTTTTTCACGGGAACTAATGGTGTAGCCCATTCACTATATTCCACCGGAATAATAATGCCATCTTTAACCCAACAATCCAATTCGTCTTCAATTTCCTTTTTACACTCAAAAGGAACTCGTCGACATGCTAAAAAAATGAGTGAAAATCCTTCTTTTAATTTCATATCCACTTTATAATCATTAAGACATCCCAAATTCTCTTCAAAAATTATACCATATTTTTCCATTAAAATAGATATATCTTCACACATTCTCTTCAATTTAATTACTTTTAAATAAACAATTTGATCTTCATTAATTTCAGTTTCATTTTTAAAATTATCCAAGTTAACCACTAATTTCTCGGAAATTTCACACATATCAGGATTAAAAGAAGGATTCACTTCCTTTTTTTACTAAATCCGATATTACTATTTCATGAATTTTATTTTAAACATTATCTACCATAATCTTGCATTTAGTATTTTTTAATATCAAATCACTATTTGTTGTAAAAATATTCCAATAGTTGTTCATGGGACCAATTTTAGTAATCCAATCCCAATCCATAATTGTTTCTACATCTTTTTCTACCACCCATAAGTCAATAAAAATTGTTAGTTCATTTAAAATCACTCCTAATTTCGTTTTACTCAAAACCAAAATTTCGGACCCATCAAATTGTTTAACACACATGTTTTCTTTCTCAAGTGTACCCTCGTGCCAATGTTTATAATAATTTGTTCTAGACATTATTGAAATGCTTGCCCCTGTGTCAAACAACATTTCTATATTTTGTCTATCAAATTTTATATTTACACGAGGACATGAACACTGATTAATTTCTCTTTCAATCATTAAAATTTTATTCATTTTAATCAACTGAAATATAATTATTATATTTGAATTACCATTCATATCATTAATATTCATGCCTAAATTTAACTCTGAATTTAATGGCCTCTGAATATCCATATTTTTTTTTAAAATATATCAGAATCATTTTTAACTACACTATATTTATTACAAATTTTATTATTAATATAGGATTTTTCAATTTTTATATGATTCTCTTTCAAATCATATAGTCATTGCAATCCACTCAAAGATTGAACACAATTCATAGCAACATGACCCATTTTCTCACACTTAAAACACATTCGGTCATTATCTATATTATTCACATCTTTTTCACTTAAATCTGAAATAATAAAATCTTTTTACGCACCACTGGATTTAGCAATACCGGTGGTCTCTTTGGAAAGCCATCCTTAAAATTTGCTTCTTTTACCATGCAATTTTTCTTTATATGACCTGTAAAACCACATCGATGACAAGTTATAATATTTTTATTATTAACTTTTACACTCACATTTTCATTGATTCTTCACACGTAAAACAATTTTTCCCTCCATGACTCCTTCGGCCACAAATATCGCAAACTTCAATAAAATTATGATTTTTATTTCGAATATCTATATCTTTAGAAATATTTTTTAACTTTCTCTAATATCTTTTATATCATTTGTAATAACAATCTTTTTCATTTATTTTAACATTGTTAGTAACATCATTATTTTTTACAACCTTAACAGGTTTATCAATCACAATTTCAGATATTTTCTCTTTAATTTCACTCATAAATGAATTTAAATTCTCTTTTATATCTTTTGACGTCATAATACTTTTTTTATTTTTTAATATTCAAATTTCTAAGTTCCAGTAAAAATTTAAACTATTTTTTAGATCTTCAGAAAATCTAACAATTTATCAGATGTCATAGGATCCAAATCCACAACTTTAGAATCATCTAACTTACTCCCTTTATTTGTAAAATATTTATTCTTAACTATCTTAATTAAATGCATAATAAATATCAATGAAATATATAAAATGAAAAAAATTAAAGCTGTAACCACACAATTGGTCACATCCAATTTATCAAAACTCGAATTAAATACTTTAACAAAATTATTCTTATAAATTTGCATTTTATTAAAATTAGGATTCCGATGATTACTAATGAAAAAATAAACCATGTTCTCATTTAATTATTTATAATCAAAATTTTATCATTAATAATAGACCACTGCGTTGTGTACAAAAAAATATTTAAGCAAAGAAAAATATATTTTTTTTTTATCCGGATTCGAATGATCTTTCAAATTTCTTCTTCAAATAAAAATGATCTTCTTTAGGAATCTCGTCCTATGAATTTGTTTCTCTTTATTTAAATATTTTTCCCAATTAGAATTTTGATCCTGGTACAATGTGCCCCACTTTACAAGAATCGTAAGAAATATCCTTTATAAGAATCGTAATAAATATTGTAAACGGCAAATTCGAATTTAGATCTTTATTAATCATTAATTTATAAAAATAATTTCAAATTCACAAAACGAAAATCAATATTTTTTAAAATTAAAATTTATATCTATTTATTTATATATGAATTTTCTCAAAACTTTACAAAAATTGAATAATGAATAATAAATCGGGAAAAAATTATTATATAATCCTTATTTTTTTCCCTTTTCATATAATAATAATAATCCTCCACCAATCAGATGTATACAATACATCTGATTGTCGTTTAACCAAAATAAATTGCGAATACATGTTTTTAATGCATAATATACTAGGACAGTTATCCCCTACTATAAGCCTAAAATAAAACTAAATTATATTTCAAAAAAACATTCTTGTTAATGAAAATGATAAAAATTAATTTCCAAAAAACTTTTGATATTTTCTCCCATGGTTAAAAAAATTATATTAACATTTAATCAAAAAAAAATAAGGATGAAGTCACCATGCAATTTCAAGGCCAAAATATAGCTAAGATGGGATGGTTTTGTCCTTGCAGCCCTATGCTAATAATTTCCCGATCCAGAGAGGACCAAAATTATATTTGCGTGCATAAAACGGAACATGTTAGACGTAATACCAACCCTTTGTGGAAACCATTTTCTATAACCGTTCAAAAGTTGTGCAACGCCGACTTCTTGCGGTTTTACACATATAATAAATTAAAAATTATGGTCCTTATTTTAAAAAGTTTTTATTTTCATATTTAGACTGTTTAAAAGGACATTCTATATAACCTGAACCTGATCATAATTTACTTATATATTTATTTTAAAAAAACCAAAATTTTTTTTTAAAAAAATACACGCATTCGCCGATTTTTTTTATAGCTGTCTAGAACCCATGATAATAAATTTAAATTGTACTAATTAACTAATCGAAAAATAACATGATGGATAGTAAACATTCATTCACTTCTGATATTTTCGATCTTCCTTTGAAACCATTTATAAAATATGAATAACATTATTTTGAATGACCATGTTTTAAAAAATCGGGTCCAAGCCGGATTACAAACCCGAATTCCTTTAATAAGCTCAGGCCGGGCTTATAAATATGCATCTGCGGATATTCGATTATATATTATATACTGTTTATTAAATTTTAAACATTCTTATTTTTTTTTTCAAATCAGGACCCTCAAATTTGATTGTTATAATTGGAACTCTGACGAAAGGTATTTCCTAATTTAGGGAAAAGAAAAAAAAATTGTTTTACAAAGCACGTTCTTAGTATTTTATATTTTATAGCAGGAAAAATTTTATAGGATCCTTCATGACCAATCTGGAAGAACTCAGTCATTCTGTCCAAGATAATAAAAATTTTGAGGTTTATACATTTAGATGGCAAATATATATTTTTTTTTTTCAATTTTATAAGGTAAACTGGATTTTGATACTATATCCTTTAAAGCAGAGACCCGGAGTCTTCAGGGACATGCCATATTTTAGTGAAGCACGGGAAGGGTGTGGGATCATGATAATCGGAAATAACAATTCGGCTTTTTGAACGCCTCGAATATTAAAATCTGAAAGTAAACCTATCTAATTTAACCTTAAATGAACTGAGATCGAGCTTATCAAAAAAATGTACTTACGGGTCCCTGCTTTAAAGTTGTCGAAATTTACTTTAATATCTTTCTTAAAAAAATTGATATTTTATATTTTTAATCAGTCTGATTTTATCAATCATAGATAATAAATTCGCAAAGGAAAAAATCGTCGGCTGTCAACGCTGGAACAGTTTTAAAAAAAATCTATTAATAGAATATATTTTTTTTTATATAGGTCAGTTTGATTTTATATAGCATGCGGAAGATTCATACTTTTTTAGAATTCATTAAAGCGGGGTAAATTTAATTATGCCTTTGCCTTTATTTGTTTATTGACTATGTGAAATATCAAAAAATTTGATTTGCAAACTTTTGAAACTTTATCGAAAAAAGAAAAATAAGTTTTTTTTATAATAAAAATAAAAATATGTCCAAAAATTTAACATACTATTTTTTTTTAAACTTTTCGAATTTTTTATAAGAGGTTTTAGACATAGCCTTATATAAATAAATTTTAGGGATTTTTTTATTTTAGGCTGTGACCTAAATATATTAAAAAACTACAAAATTTGTAAATTTTCTTAAATTAATAAAATTATAAAATATGGCTAAAATCTTCCATTATAATTTTTTAAATTATAACTTTCAAGTTGAGCTACTTATAAATCTATACAGTCTTAATTTTTGTAAATAAATGTAAGCATTTATAAAGGTTAAACAACTTATAAATCTTTACAGCCTTGATTTTCTTGTAATGAATAAGAATTTATAGTGAAAATAGCTAATTAAAAGTTGAAAAAGCCTGTAATAATTATTTTAAGAACTCAAATTTAAAAATATAGCTTTAGTTATAAATAACAACTATTATAAAGAAAGATAATATAATTATTTTTACACTATAAAATATATATCATGAGTTATATAAAATTGTAAAAAAAACATTATAAATTACAAAAATATTGATAATTTTCATTTACAAAAATGATGATAAATTTGAACCAATATCTATATTCGAACTACTATTTTAATCATTTACACCATATTAAAACATAAATTTTATATAAAATAATATCCTAGATGGAATTTTCAGATTTCTAAATGTTATAATATTTGGTTCTGTAATTGAAAACATGCCACAGAATATTTGGTATTATCATCTAAATTTTCCTTTAACCAAACATATTGTTCAACAAATTGAAGATCCTTGCCTTTTATAATAAGAACACCATAACCTTTTTTTAAAGTAGTTATATATATTATGTATATAATTTTTGTTGGGTGAGATCATATAATAATTTGGCTTTTACAGCTGCAATTTTCTTCTTTACCTGAACATAATTTAGGTTATATACGTTTCTAACCCCCCCCCCCCATATTATCTTACTTGCCTGAATCTCTGAATTTAAATTTTTACTCCATATGTTTCTATGCACTATTACATTTTCCATGTAATTATATTATAAATGGATAAATTCTTTGGTCAGTAAATTTATAAAATGGGCAGTGTTATTTAATATATCAAAGTCAGGAACAACTTATTCATATTAAGTAATTCAGAGGCTTTATTAAAATAAATTGGTAGATTACATACTGACAAAAAGATCTTCCAAGCCTCAAAATTTATAATTTCTACCAATTATTTTATACTTCCCATTATTATCAATCAGGGTTTTGAAAAGCATAACGGTTCGGTTTGTTCCGGTTTTTAGTTTAAAATTTTATAAAGGTTTTGTTCCATTTCGGTTTTTAAAAAAAAATCATATCGGTTCGGTTCGGTTTATAATTTATAACGGTTCATTTCGGTTTGTTCCGGTTTTTATAAATTTGATTTAAAAAAATTTTTATCATTAACCATGTATATGTATATATTAATTTTAGAGAAAAATCTTTTCAATTTCTAATTTAATTTAACCATGATAATCAAATAGATATTTTTATTATTTCATAAATAAATAAGATAAAAACAAACATGTGTAAATATAATGATGAATAAAATAACACATAAATATAATAAAAGGTATACTATTTATGTTTAAAAAGAGAATTAGAACGGATTACTAAAAAAAATTTTCTAATATTTCAGGATTTAATTTAGTTCTCTGCGCAGAAAGTATAAACTTAAGGCTAGAAAATGCTCTTTCTACGGATACCTGCATAGCTGGAACTGCTAGCACATTTATAGCTAACTTATAAAGTTCTGGCATACTATTCTTTTCATTTTCCCAATTATTCAAAAGATTAGTATCTTTTTCTAATCTCTCTATATTATCAAATGACCGAATTATATATTCTATTTCTATACATTTATTATAATTTTCTATACCCTGAGAATTATTCTTATTAAGACTTTTATGCGACTTTAATAAATTTTCAAAATCATCATCTAAATTATCTTTTGAATGCGAACACGTAGGCATAGTATTTAGAATTTCAATATTCTGATTATTTAGACTTTGTAACAAGTTCCAAGTTTTACAAAGATGTTTTCTGGCGAACTCTCTTTCTTCAAATGTTAAAAATATTATTTTAATAATAAATAATTTATAATGACTTAAATGAATATTAGAATTCTGAATTTAAAAAAACAATATGATTATAAATAAAAAATTATCATATCATTAAAATATTGCTGACCATTTTATTTATTGTCATTTAAATTCTATGATCCAAGTTTTTATAATGAGATAAAAAATAAACCATATAATATAAAAATGAATGTAAAAAGTACTTGATTTCTATTAGATGTTAGTTATTAATAGTAGATTTATTTAATTTTTTCCTAAATTATTAGCAAGTATTATTATAAAAGCTTATTAATAACTTATATATATAAACTTGTTAATTTAGCCAAGAATAATTATGGTGATTTTAAGATATATTATCTAATTAACAGATAATTAGCCTAATCTCTAATAAAATAAGTATTTAAAGAAAAAAACATAAACTTGGTATTAATTGATATATAATGTTGATAATATAAAAATATTTAATTTAAAAGAAATCACCAATTTAAAAACTTCCCCCAAGGAAAATTAAATTTAAAATTTAGATTAATAATTTAAAATTAATTATTTTTTAAAACCGTTTTGAACCGGTTTAAAATATTTATAACGGTTCGGTTCGCTCTTTTTATATTTTCTTTATAACGGTTCGGTTAAGGTTACGGTTTAGAAAATCATAACGGTTCATTCCGGTTTGGCGGTTCAGTTCGGTTCGAAACCCTGATCAATATAACTACCCATTTCTTATTATAATTTAAAATATAAATCAATATTACTTTTTTTCGTAAGAATTTCACAGGTTTATAAATTTTAACTAGATTTTATTTATTTTTATTATTTTAAAAAAATAATAAATTTTTGTAAATTCGAAAAAATTATTTAGACCACTATTATATTTTTATATTAAAAATAGCTTATGTTATTTTTTCATTAAAATTAATGAATTTATTTAATTATATTTTTGATATTTAGGTCGCAGCCTTAATAAATTACAAATATAGATTTAAATAAAATTTGCTGAACATTAGAATTCTCTTAGCATACTTAAATCGAGGGATCTTTGTTACTCCGCTTGATCTTGATCAAAAAATTACATTATGATATAATTTTGTTAAGGTGTCATAATTATCAAAATATAAATTTCGTAATTGTAAAGAAAAAAAAGAGTTAAACTATTTTTTATAATAAAATAGTGGCCTAAATCATTTTTCGTTTATTAATTTTTTTAAAATTCGGATATTATAAAAATTTAATAAATTTTAGCGTAAAGTTTATAAAATTATGAATAATAAGAAATGGTAAGTACTTAATTTATATGAGAAGTATGAAATTTAATTTGATAGGAATTATTAATTTCAAAATTTACAAAACTTTGAAAATTTTTTAATGAAAGATTTTGGACATGTTGTTTGAGATTTTATAAAATACATTTAGGACATAGACTGAAAAGTAAAATTTTAAAAAATCCATTTAATTTATATACAAATTTTTATTTTCAACATAATGAAATCGAACCAAGGACACAAATACATTGCACATTCGCTATAGATTTTACTTCCAGTAACGGTGACCCACAAAATGTCAATTCCCTCCATCATATACAAACTGACAAAAATTTGCTTAATCAATACGAACTAGCTATAACATCGGTTGGAGATATTATTCAAGATTATGATAGGTTATATGTCATTTGTTTTATTTTTTTTAGTTTATAGTTCTCCGAAACATAATGCTTTGACTAGTTATTAATTACATTATATTTTATGTTATCTTTGGAATTTTGAAAAATATTGTAATATAAATTAATGAATGGGTGGATACAATGTTGCAGTAGTATATTTAAGCTACAAACTAGGAGGACTGCTAACAAGATAAATATGAAAATTAAGATTTTATATTAAATCTGAAAAAGATGAAGGGGGGGGGGGTGATGTTTAAACCGATATAATAAAATACATTAATATTTCTAGGGTAAAAGGCTCGGAATAGAATTAAGTTGTAAACAAAACGAACTATAAAAATAATCAGAATTATTTTTGAAACTTTGATAAATGCATATCTCGTACTCAAGTATAATTATATATTTTATTTACAAAATCTAATTATCCTCAGCGACAAATTATTTCCTGTCTTGGGATTTGGAGCTAGATTTCCTCTAACAGGCATGGTTTCGCATGAATTTTTTGTGGTTAGTTTGATTTTATACAAATTTTAGAAATTTATAGTGAATACAAATTGAGTGTTTTTGTTTTGCGTTATGGGGTGTACCGATACTGAAGGCCGATCCAGGTTCGATATTCCGAATATTAAATTGATATCTGCCAATTACCGATCCGATATCATATCTAATTTTGTAATCTGTAAAGATGCCAATGTTTTAATGATTAATATACTTTTTATTAGTATAACATTTATATAAGAACTATACCAGAACATATGTCATTTAAATATATTATAATGATCAATTATAGTTTATATTCAATTCCAATTCTAAAAGTATATAAAATATTTTTATTGATAAATCACTTATTTATATAAGTAATAACATTAATCTATTTACATAATAAGTAATAAATAAATATGTTATGAAATTTGAAATAAATATTTAAAATTAATATATCGAAGATTTCATTTTAGAAATACCAAAATTTTCAATTTATCAGAAGTCAGCCTGCATATTTATTTATAATATACATAAACATATTCCAAATAATAATAAATAAAAAGCAAAAGATTATTTTAAAATAAATTATCACACTTTTATACAGAATGCGAAATAAAATAACAATATGGCAGAATGTTTAGTAATTAATTATTAAAAATATAAACATAAAAATGGATTTTGATTTTATTTATAAAAATTAGTGTTGTTCCTTTTATTTTTGACGAACTTTGAACGTGAACGCGTTGCCTTTTTATGACGAACGCGTTCGAATTTAACGTTCGTTCAATTTTAAAAATATTTTTATTTATTTGAAAAATTTAATATTTCCAAAATTTTTTAAAAAATGTATTATTTATATTTTTTAATCGGCTGTGTATTTCCTTTTCACATTTCAATTTTTTTAACACATAGTTTATTAATTTGAATATTATTTTTTATATTTTAATTTAATAGATTAGCATAAGCATGGATATTATTATTTAATCCTCATCATCTGATTCTGAAAATCCAAAATCAGATGAATTATCATTACTATGGCCAAATATGATAAGTGTTTTACATTAACATCCTATATTGAAGGAACTAATCCAATGCTTACCAAGTGTAAAATGTGGCCAAAAAGTATTGTATCAAAATCTTCAGGTTCCAAATTAAAACGACATTTGATTTTAATATTAATTATTTGATTTTATATGATATAACTAAGTTAAATCATTAAATTTGAAGAAATAATGCATTTGGGATATTTGACCCCAATAATAACGATAGTTATTTTAAAATTAAAAAAATTAGTGGCCTCAAATATGGTCAACCATTGATAGACGCCGTATTAAATGGGATTAATAAAAGATATTAAACCTATCACTCTTTAATTACATATATTTTATTTTTTTAAAAGATTTGAAAATATATATAAGGATCAATATGTTTTTCTGCAATTATACATCCAGCATTCAAACTTCAATGGCCTGGATAAAACTTCCACAGAACAAACCTATTAAAAATAAACTTATAGCGTTATTTAAAAAAATGGAGGAGGATAACTTATCTCAATTTTTTGCAAATAACAAAATAATATGTTTTTAATTAATTCTTCACGTTAAAAGAGCTGTTTATTAAGTATAATACCGCAATCCCCTCATCTGCCCCTGAGCGCGTTTTAGTATAGCTAATGCCGTATTAACTGCCAAGTGTTCCTGTCTATTAGATAAATATTTTGAAAACAATTGTTATTAAAATTTAATAAGAAAATTTTTTTATAAATAAAACTATATTATTTTTTAACATAGCTAAAATATATTGTATTAAAGAATATAAGTTTATTTATATTCAATTAAATTTTAAAAAAAATTATCATAAAATTTTGAACGGTTTTATGAACGTGAACGCATTCGTGAACGAGAACGCGTTCGATTTTTGTCATTGAACGTTGAACGCGTTCGATTTTTTAGAAATGTTTACAGCACTAATAAAAATAAATGGTTTTTTAGGGTTAGCTATAAGTCGAAAGGCTGCATGATACGAAAGGCTAAAAAATAACAAAGAAAATGATTAATGAGAATTTTGATTGATTTATTGCTTTCTTTACGAGAAAAATATTATAATAACTACATTATGAATGCTAAAAAATTGGAAATTTTAATATCTTTTCAATTTTTTTATTATTTTTTGTAATGCGGTTTAAATTTAATTTAATTATATTAATTTCGAAATTAAATTTTTGATTAAATTATATTTCGTTATGAATACAATCTAAGCGTATTTAGATAGAGAATTTAATTCTGAGTTCAATGATATAAAAATTTTTGAAATTACGTTTAAAATCTTAGCCTTTTTCCTTTGAATATTTTCGCGACAAAAAAAATATTTTTCAAAAAAAATTTACCAATTTGTTAATTAATTCGTAATCCAGTACTTACAATATCTTTATACTTAAAATCAATTTAGTTTTGAAAAAAAACTTAAAAATTCAAAAATTTCATTTTTTAAAATTATTCATAACGAAATATAATTTAATCAAAAATTTAATTTTGAAATTAAATTAAATTAAAACCGCAAATTATTACAAAGAATTAATAAAAAAATTGAAAAGATCTTAAAATTTCCAATTTTATAATATACAGTGTAGTTATGATTTAATGAAACATATTGATGATTAAATTCAAACCCATTCCATTCATATAAAATTATAATATTTGCAAAAATAATTAAAATATAGACAAAGCATTATTGAAATTTCTTTTATTATTCCTTTTGTTATTTTAATTATTTTTGCAAATATAATTTTATATGAATGGGTTTATTTAATCGTCAATATGTTTCATTAAATCATCACAACACTGTATTATAACGTAATGTTATTATAATATTTTTTTCGTAAAGAAAGCAATAAATCAATCAAAATTCTCATTAATCCTTTTCTTTGTTATTTTTTATTTTCAATATTATTTTTTAGCCTTTCGTATCATGTAGCCTTTATACTTATAGACCTTGTTTTTTAGATATGACTTTTTTCAAAAATTTATAACATTTTATTTTTGTTAAAAACGCCATTTTTTATCGGATCGAGTCGGGAAATTTTATAATTTTGGCCAATAACTGATTAAAATGGGTGAAATATCGGCTCGACCCGATCTGATAAAAAATATCGGTACTTTCCTAATTTAAAATAATATATTTAAATGATAATGAGCAAATTTGTAAAAAAAAAATTTCGTTAAAAATAACGAAAATTAGTTTATGTTTATTGCATAATAAAAAATAACATTTCAATTTAAACAACATAGTGCTTGATAGAAAACCACAAAGCTAAACATTTCTGTCCAATTTTTAAGCACTATTAAATTAGATACTTCATGATTTATTTAGAAAAAAATCTTACATAAAAAGTTATAATATACTATAAAGAGTAAAAAATATTTATATCAACAGAATATGAAAACTGATAACCCTTATTGCGAAGGAATACCTGGAGTGTTAGATGCCTACCGAAATTGCTTGCGTCAGATACAATTGTATGGACCAACTAATTTTGCACCTGTTATCAAACACGTGACTAAGTTTAAATAATCAAACCATAAATTCATATCAATGCTTGAAAAATAATTTTTTGAAGTAAGATTTTTCAAATTTTACAGAAAAATGCCAACATTTTTTTTATTTAATAAAATTTCCATGAATAAAATATACTTTTCAAGATTAAATAAAATATTAAAAAAAAATTTGAATATCAATTGGTATCTTATCTTTCATAAGTGATTTAAAATAAATTTTTATTTGGCACCAATGAACAATCATTTTTTAAATTCGATAATCTATCTTGAGAATGGTATAGGTGCAGCTTGAAATTTATAAAAATATGTTCAAATGGTATAATTTATTTATACTTGTTTTTCTTCTTCTAAATCTTCAGATTCGCTTCCTCTTACAGAGATGGATCAAATTATTTTATTTTGCTCATTATAACCGACGGTATTATCAGTGATATGCCTATGACGAAAGAAGCCTTAGTTAACGTATATACATTTTTTTCCGACAAGTTTTCTTCTTCTCCCTTAATGCATTAAAGTGGTATTTTAATTGAGGCTAAATAGGGTTAGCTAATAAATATAAATTTGATTAAAATAGGTGATTTAGATTAATATTTTTAATACTATTTTATTTACTAAATTTGATCAAAATACTTAATATAGAGAAAGAAAAAAAAGACTGATTAGTCATTTAATTTTTTTAAAATCATAGATAATAAATTACTTGATTTATTTTAATTTATGACGCAATTATAGATCTGCAGTGCTTGGGCCGGACATTATCTGAATTTTTTTTATTGGACCGGGTTAGGAAAAAAAAATTGACTGGGTCAGACCAATTTCAAAAAAAAATATTTTGTATATATATATAAGATGGATTCTGATATCTCATGGGAATAAGATAATCCATAAAGTATAATGTTTTTAATACCACCCCCCCCCCTCCCCCAATTATAAATAGTTTATTTTGTTCAACAATATATATTTTGGTTTAGACCTTGTATTTTAAAATAAAATTAGCCCGCGCTGGGCCAGGCAAAAATTTTTTGGAGCCTTTATAAAACAAATTCCCACCGGACCGGGCTTGAGATTTTTGTCATTCATAGACCTCTGATTCTTATCTCATCATTTAATATTCAAAATTTTAAATATAATACCCAAACTAATATTAAATTAAACATTTTTCTTTTAATTATTTTATTATATTGTTAATCTTAATGTAACGTTATTAGTAATCCTTATGAGAAAATATTGGCTTGGAAAATTAGAAAATAACATTTTAATACTTATGATAAAATATTAGCTTGTAAAATTAAAAAATAACATTTTAATAATAGATTAACAAACACAAGCATTATTTATTTCCACGACATTGGTATTTAAATTTATTTGTTTAGAAGAAATCTACATTTCCTACGATTTAAGTTTATTTAGAATGCTTTCCAAATGATAAAATACTCTTTCTAAGGAAACTATGATGAAGATGTTGTAAATAATTGTTTTACTATTTTTATCCTGAATTAAATAATCCTGCGCTAGCTACCATTCAGTTATTTACCTTAATTATTATCTCATCTAAAACATATTTTATTAAATGAGTCAGATCTAGCTTAGAATTTTAGAAAGAAAGATAAGGATTGGTGTCAAGGTATAAAGTTGTCCACTTTTAATTTCCACTTTGGTCTCATTGACTATTACATCAGAAACATATTTCTTATTAAGAAGATAGGTAAATGTTCTGGTGAAAATATTGTAAAAAAGATGCTTATGCTTATTTTATTTGTGAAATAATTTGTTATTGATCCCTCAGATAAAAATTCCCTCGTTTTATTGGTTTCGGTATATTAATTTTTTTTTAAACTAACTTCTAAATAGAAAGTGTGAAGGTTCTTTATTAATTTTGGATACACTAAACAATTAAAGCAAAAACTCAAAGATTTTTTAAAATGACGGGTGTTAATGAATGATCAATTATTCACTTGGGCTTACTTTAAATTCGCCCAATGCACAAGGGGCATTCAATTTGGAAATAACATTACCTATAATAAAATAAGAAAACCACCATCGTTTTACTATATTTTATTCAATAGTAAAAAAAATAAGTTTTTTTAATTTGGTTTAGCAGCTTTACTTGAATCAGAGAATTTCACAAAAATATTCAATTAACAAAAAAAATATGAGACCTTCTTTTCCATAAAAATGCAAATATTGATTAGTTAAAAATAATTTTAAACGTTTTTTAACATTGTCGAATTGGAGTCCATTATAAAGGCTTTGCAATATGTATTTTTTGACTAGGTCCCTTGAAGCAATAACCCTTTACTTACAAGGTAGTATATACTGAGGTAAATAATTTCTTTAATAGTAATATGATAATCATTCTAAATCAATTTTCATTAAAATAATATTATAGTATATGATTAAAATCGCGATTTAAATTTATAAAATCGATTTTTTTTAAAAAAAAATCACGAAATGCGTTAATTCGAATGCCAAATTTAGTAAAAATTTTTCATTATCTATATATTAATTTTTAAAAAATAATTAATTATACTTACATAAGGCATCTAATCTTCCCATCTCTGTAATAATCGTGGGTGTGGGGGATGCAGATTTTACAGGTTTATTATAAACATTATATTTGTTAATTATAATTAATATATTATATTGTTTTGTTATATGATTAATTTGCAATATCATTGTTTACTTTGATAATATTAAAATTTCCATCTTAGAAATTTATTATCTCGTCTGCTACGTTTCTCTTTATTTTTTCGTATTTGATATATTTTTATGTCATTATCTATTATGACTTCTTAAGTGAATTTCCCATATCAGCACATATTTAGGGTAAGCGGAATATAATTCCCCGAAATTCCACAGAAAATAAATCTCTGGAAAAAAAATCCCCGGAAAAAATTTCCCCACTATATATTGAATTGCTAATGCATTGCTAAACTGCATTGCTAAAAAGCAATCAATCAAAATTTTATTATGTATATTTTATTAATGATAATTTTTTATCTTTTTTTAAAATATACTTAAATTATTTTTTTATTATAAATGAAGAATACTGATTAAATATCATATAGTATATAATTATATTTTTCTTTAATATTATTAGTAAGAAATTTATTTTTCTAGCTTATTAAAACAAAAGTACATTTTATTCAATTTTAAAAATTAACAAATATATATCCGTAAGAGGGCGTTATATGTTTTAATATGTATCATTTTAGGAAACCGGGATGATGATTGGATAGCACTTTTTTTATATTTGGGTATATATACATATGAAAAACCTAAAAATTAAAAAAATTTTTTAGGTTTCTTTGATGTTTAATTTATGAGTAGGTTTAGAATAGTAAAACAATGGAAATTTTCTAAAGTGAATATTGCTGGCGTTATTTATCAAAATCTCTTCATTTTTGTTTTATACGTGTATATTTACGTGCTAAGCATTATCCTAAAAAATATTTTGAATTGACCGATTGCAGAGTTCAAAACCGACCACTTATTAAATATTCGATTGATCAAATTTGCTATTAAGATAAATTGAAAAATGTTGATTTTTGTTTTATGTATCTATAACATAATTCCAAAAAATATTTTAAAAATATCGTGATTTGACCCGAAAATCGACCGAATGATCAAATACTGCATTGCTGGCGTTATCCATGGAAAAATCTTCATTTTTGTATTATACGCGTATATATATACGTGCTAAGCATTATCCTAAAAAATATTTTGAAAATAATTTGATTTGACTGATTGCCGAGCTCAAAATCCCACTTACTAAATATTCGATTGATAAAATTTACTAGTAATATGATTTGAAAAATGTTCATTTTTTGTTTTATATATCTATAATTACGAGTAAACATATATGAGTCGGTTATCCGCCAATTTTAAAATATTTTTTGGGATTATGTTTTATATGTATTTATAGATATATAAAACAAAAATGAACAATTTTCAAATTATATTACTAGTAAATTTGAATCTAGGAAAATAATTCCCCGGAAAAAAAAATCCCGTGACCCGGATCTGCTCTGCAGTATTTAATTAAATAGAAATGTTTTTTAAAGTCAAATTTCTTCGAGGATTTGAGATTTTAAATAATAAAACGAAAGTTAAATAAATCTAGTTCACCTTTACACACTTTCATCAACTTTTAGGTATTTATTGAAAAATATTTTTACACAAATTTTAATCATTTTTTTAGAAATATGATAAAAGGCTTTTCACAGTTTACTAACTCTTAAATAGCGCCCCTTTTTGTTTTTACAAGGATAAGCTATTAAATAATATAATTTTATAAATTTTGTGGCGAAATAGGAAATTAGCAATTCAATCTGATACCCTCTATTTGATAAAAATTATTTTACTGAAGTATATACCTACTTTAATAATTTAACTGACTGAATACAAAATCACTATAAAACTTGCAAAATTATATTTTTTACTGCCCAATTTTAATTAAATACTGCCAAAAGTAATGAAAAATGCTGACCACTTTAATCAAAATACAGAGCTGATTATCAGCAGTGAGTATTATATTTTTCTAATCTAACAATTATTATTTTGCTTATGAATTTTTTTCAAAAGTTACAGAAAAGAAATAATTATAATTTTATTAAATGATATATAGAATAATAAATTATATTATTCAAAAGAAACAATTCTAGAACGTATATGTTCTCCAATTGAAGAGAGAAAATTGGGCAAGTCCCTTCTCTCTTCTAAATAATCAATGCATAAATTTTTTAAAATAGTTTGTTTCGTTGCATAAATACGATTTTTTTTGGGAGTGTATGTCCCAATATTCCATTGGCCGATTTTTCCCATATCAACCGCTATTTCCATCCTTATTTTTTCGAGTAGTTCCCATATCTTAGGTTTTTTGTTGCCTACAATATCCTTAAATCGGTTATTCCATCCTTCACATACATTGTTTGTTCGATTTTCCCCAGCAATCGTAACATTAAACACATTCCATGTTTCTGGTGGGAACAATGGCTCTACTTGCCTTTGAGAGTTTTTCCCATGTCTCAATTCTCCATTCATATAATTTTTATCAAAATAAAACAATAATTCTTTGTTTTCATCCGATACAATGGTTTTTAAATACTCCATACCTCGTTTGACATCGTGTATAGGTAAGAATGCTAATCCATCAATCATAGCTGCAAATAAGCATAACATTGGATCATTCCGATATGATGATTCTAAACCCAATTCCTGAATCTTTCTATGAGTTGATTGAGTTAGATGATAAAAACATCCTTGGATGTTGATATCTCTACCTAAAAGTTGAAAAAATATAGATTAAAATTATTGTATAGGTTTTATTTAATATTTATGTCTTTATCAATTTTTATTAATTACACTGTGTGACAAGAAAAATGGGAGAAAAAATAAATAAAAACAAGTTTTGGTGCAGAATTTGACATTGAGTTCGAATTCGTTTTCTAAGTTTTCCTTTCACGACAAGTTTTAAAAATATTATCGTATAAAGGCAACTTTTCGAAATCTCAAAAATGGTAAAATTTAGGTCTTTATACGGATATATTTTAAAAAGTATCAAATGAAAATCCCTGAAAATTGGTGATAGTGTTAGACTTTCCTTATAAATTTATTAATTTTTATAATTTTTTATCGATTGCTTTTTGAGAAAAATGGTAAAGAATTTCGTTTTGGGGGTCTTAAGTTTTCAATTTAAATTCCCGGCAAGAATCGTATAAATATGTTGGCGGACTACTGCTGGAGTATCTTTTTTGAAAATAAATCATCAACTTCATATTCGCGGAAATATATTTAGATTTACAATTAAATGTTTTTAAATTCGATAAATTTTATGTTATTGTTTAATTTGTTTTAAATTCAATAAATTTATTGTATATTACAAGTTAAATCCTATATAATAATGAAGGAGGGGGTGAGACAACGGACCGATAAAAGGTTTATTAAAAGTAAAATATGAGATAGGTTAGCTTAGCATAATATATTTATTTAAATATGAGAAATGTAACTATTTCATTTAAAATAAATTGTTTGGGAATCGTACCTTGTGCAGTGTAGCGAAGAGAACGAAAGCCATAATAAATATATTAAATGTAAGCTATATTAAAAAATAATTCCCCGGAAAAAAAATCTCCGTTTTTAAGATAATTAAAATTACAAAATTAATAAATTAGGAGAAAAAGTTCCCTATAAATAAATCAACGAAATAATAATTCTCAAATAAAATATTTAAAAATTTTGATAAAATTAATTCTGAAGAATTATTTTCTAAGAATTTACTGTCTTAAAACATGTTTATTTTATTTTCCCCCAAAATCAAGTCAAAATTTGTCACACAGTGTTTAGAAATGGGTTCGTTCATCCTACACTCATAAAAAAATCGTTTAAAATATTCCTAAAACAACAGAAAAGGGAAATTAGAATTAAAAAAAATTTCAAGTTCCATGGTCCAAAATACATTTTAAAATCAAGGTCCTAGCATATCTCGATAGTATATAGATGTAATTAAATCGTAAAAAGAAACCTAGAGTATTTTCGACGGCATTGATTGCAGCCTTTTCAAAATCCATATAAATTGTTATCACAGTTTAGCAATGCATTAGCAATTCAATATATAGTGGGGAAATTTTTTCCGGGGAATTATTTTTCAGGGGAATTTTATTCCGGGGATTTTTTTCCGGGATTTTTTTTCGGGGGAATTATTTTTATTCCATTTTTAGATATTTTAAAAAAATGCGTTTTTAATATTCTTAAACAACATTTAAATAGTAAATTTCATTTATTTAAATAATTAGCAATGGAGGAGCTAGATGGCGATATAATCCCATTATCTTCCTCCAATCAAACTGCCTCGAGAGATATAGTCCAATTCGTTCCTCTCAGAGACTTTCAAGCATCTTCTCTTAATTTAAGTGATCGAATTTCATCTATCGCATCCCAAAAATATCGTTTAGCTAAAGAAATTTTAGCTGAAATACCGCTTCAATTCATTTCTTATATGAATTCGATTCACGCAACACCCGAATTAGTCGCAAATATTAAACGTTAAAGAATGATGAATAATATAAATCGTAAATTAATTTTTATAACTCTTTTGAGTTGAATTTAAATATTAATTTTCATCTATTTAGAACATCTATGTGACCAGCTAATTTTGGGAATCATGAAATTAATTTGAATATTTGAACTTAAATCTTTATCGTTAATTTATTTATTTTTAAGTATATCATAATTATATACTCTTATTATGTGATCTATAATAACCAAGCTCTTTTTTAAAACTTTTTATTATGATATAATCTGTAGTTTTATTGTAATTTTAATTAGAGTTTTTTCATCTCATTTTTATTTATATTTTTTTATAATTAAATATTATTTCATTCCATTCATTTTAGATCTGAAATGATATATTCCAAACTATTAGCATTTTATATATGTATACATACTTTAATATATTTTTAAAATTTAATTATAAACATTTCTTATAAAAGGATTTGTTTGCAAGAGAATAACATGGTAGCTTTAGTCATTATAAGTGCCCTTAAACATTTTGCTCTAAATATATTTATTTTATATATTTGAAAGGTATTAATTTTATATGCATATATTGTATAATGCGTTGCAATAAATATATTTAAAAAATAACTATTTTTTATTATCCGAATTATCTTTAGGTATTTTTTTTATATATTGTCACTCTAATGCTCTCTATAAAATTTATTAGAAGTATGTTTTTAATTGTTTGTTATCTATTTTAATGTATACATTTATTACTCATCTCTCATTTGTTACTTTTTTAATAAGTAAGGCTCGTTGTGTGGCGGAGGTGGACTTTGCCCTGTGTTGGAAATGTCAAAATGTTATAAAAATTCCAATCAGTAAATTTATACTTGCTTATTTAGAGTTCAAATGTGATATTTACACTAAAATTAGCTTTCATTTCTTTTTAATTCATAAAATTCCCTGCTTAATTTTCTATACTGTAATAAACAAATTAAAATAACATATAATTAATTACATGGATAATATTTTAAATATAAATGCTCTCAGTCGCCTTTCGTAAGGTTGATTAAAATTTTGTTGCTAGTGATTTTTTCCTTTATGCTGGCTAATGGTGCACCGATTTTGCGCATCGAATATTTCATTTTTCGAATAATATTTTGGAAAATAAATAATTCATATCGAATATTAAATTGGTTAATGATGCTTACTACCAAGTGAATGTATGGAAATATTTTAAATACCAATCTAATTTGCTAAATACCGACCAAAATTTATTAAAATGTAATAAGACCCTTATTATTTAATATATTAATACGGAATCACGTGGTCGAGTCCGGCCTTCTATATATCATCCCCCCAAGGATGGAATCACCAAGTTAGAATAAGAAAAAAAACATGATCATTTCCGGGATTCGAACCCGGGAGCATAGGATAAGTAAGCCAAGCTCTTGCCTACTAGGCCATAGAGGCTTTCCAAAGATCACGATTTTTCAAATATATATTATAAATATATTTGGTAGTGCATATCTAAATGAAAAATGAACAAAATTCAAATTTGATAGATGGTACCTTAAGGTACCAAGCATCATTAACCAATTAAATTGCACATGTATTCATAAAGTCAGTTTTTAAGGCATGCACAATAAGATAACATTTTTTATTCATATAAGATCTTTTATCTATCATCATTTTAGAAGCGAGAATAAAATCTTTAGTCATTTTTGATAAAATTTTTAAATTTTTTTGAAGATTATTCCCACCATAAAAATGGTTTTCATCTTGTGATGTAGGGGTTACTTAACATATGAATCAAATTTACTCAAGAAGGGTTTCTTCCTTTTTCTAATTTTGTTAAAGAAGATTTGATGTTGATATTAATTTCTTTTTCTAGATAAAAAGGTTATTATGTAAGGGATTGATAAAATCAATTTTGTTTAATTTATGAACAAATTCCCATCTTAATATTTGTGTGCTCTCTTTAATTAGTTTTATTTTTTTTATATTAATAACTTCCGTTTTTTACTTATTTTTTGTTTTTTTTTGACTTCCAATTCTATTCCCATCCCTCCCTTTCCTTTTTTTTCCCTAAAAAATTAGATTATTTTAAATAATAAAAATATTTATTTTTTGTTAAAAAATTTCATATTTATAATTTTATATTTTTTTAAATATTTTCTTATATACAAAATTTTCAATAAATATTTATTTTTTTGAATATTTTCTTATATACAAAATTTTCAATAAAAATATTAATTTTTTTATTTTATGGATGATTCTATTATTTCCATTGGAGAGGTAGACTTTAATAATTTTAACCTTTCAATACTCCGGTGTTTATTATAATAAATAAGGAGGAAGGTACATATGGCGGTAATATCATTCATCACGAGTAGTAATTTGAGGAACAATGCTATGCCGACTTCTTTTAAAATGATTAGTTATTAATTATTTAAAAAAATGCCAAAATCAAATCTGTATATTAAATTTTATATTTTATAACTTAATAAGCACAGGGGGTTAAAAAAAAACTAAGTGGAAATTTTAAAATTAATTTTTCCAGCTTCGTTTACTATTATGTAGCTTCTTTGAGTAATTTTATCTCAAATTGCGTAATTTCCTCATGAAAATATTTTTTTGTTAAAAAATTTTCATATTTATAATTTTATATTTTCTTATATACAAAATTTTCAATAAAAATATTAATTTTTTTAAATATTTTCTTATATACAAAATTTTCAATAAAAATATTAATTTTTTTATTTTATGGATGATTCTATTATTTCCATTGGAGAGGTAGACTTTAATAATTTTAACCTTTCAATACTCCGGTGTTTATTATAATTTTCATAAATTTATTTTGTAAAAATTTTAATTTTTTTAATTTATGGATGATTCAATTATTCTGATAATAATTTATAAAATATCCTCCTAATTATATTTTATTTAGGAAATACTTAATAATTCAGTATTCGGTTCTGACCTTGATAATTTATCTAGATCCATTCGATTGGAGAATTATAATTTTAAAAATAGTTTCCAGACTACACCAAAAAAAACAAGACGTAAATGTAATTGGTGTGATAAACATTATCAGGCTAGTACAGCTACAAGTATATATTGAGTTAATTTATAAATTTATACTTCATTTTTTTTAGCGAATTTGAAGAAGCACATGCAGACTGTGCACCCGGAAACGATTAATAATAATTTTCAAGATGATATACCTGAAACGTTATTTGGATCAAGAAAATTAACGGCTAATGAAAATACGCATATTAATAAATTAATATTGCGATATCTAATTAAACAAAATATATCGTTTAATTCTTTAGATAGCTTATATTTTAAAGATATTTTCAAATATCTAAACAAAAATTGTAAAATTTGGTGCAGGCAAACTGCAACTAAATACCTCAATAATATATACATCTCTGCAAAAAAAACATTATTACCAATCTTCACGAGCTTCGTAGTGAAGTCTCCTTAACAACCGATATTTGGACCGGATTAAATAAAATGACGTTTTGTTCATTAACAATCCACTATATAGATAAAACATGGATGATAAAGAATTTCTTATTAGATATTCTTGAATTCCCACACCCCCATGGTGGTCAGGATATTTTTGAAATAATAAAAACAACTTTAGAGGAATATGAAATTATTAGCAAAGTAATAAGCATAACGAATGATAATGGGGCTAATGTTATCCATGGAGTTAATTTATTGATAGAATATATAGAAAAAAATTATTAAAAAAAAATGTATAATCACCGATGCTTAGCCCATACTATAAATCTTATCGTGAAATCCGGGCTGGATTATTTTTCTCCATCATTAGAAAAAATTGAGAGCTTCGTAAAAAGTATTCACAGAAACCCCAAATTAATGCAAGGATTCATAAATAAGTTGGGGTATTAGAATACCGATGGATGTTGCCACAAGGTGGAACAGCAAGTACATCATGATTACAGCCATTAATAAGGTATTTTTAATTATAACATTTAACATATTTTAATTTTTAATAGAATCTCGAGGCCGTTATCCAGCTAGCTAAAGATTACAGTGGTGATAAAGACTTTAGCTTAAACACCGAGGAATCTAAATTTTTGGTGCTTTTGGAACAATTTTTGTTTCCATTTTATAAAATAACCTGCGAAATAAGTGAGGAGAGCCACAGTAATATCGGTATGGCCATGTTATACATGGATAAAATACAGACTAATTTGGAGTCTGTATGTAGATTTAGTACAAATAATTGTATTAAAAGTGGGGCTACAAAAATGCTGGAAAAATGTAAAAGTTACATTGTAATTATGGAATCATTTCCTAATTACGTTTGCGGTATACTTGATCCAAGGATAAGAAAAAATATTTGCCGCCGATTTTGAATACATCGGAATATTATGAAAGATTCAAAGATTTATTTATTCAATATAATGATGATAATAATAATTTGGATAGATATAATTTTACTAATGAAGAAAATGAATCTCATTTAATGTCAGTAAATATACTTAATGAATTGCGAACGTAAGTATTTATTAACTTATATATAAATTATATATTCATTTTTAGCTGTGCCCAAGAAGCCGTGAATCATGCTATGGGGGAAATAGAGGATTATTTATCAGACTCAGTTGCACAGACCACCGAGAATGTTTTGGGATGGTGGTCTCGGTATATTCATCGTTTTCCAAGGTTGTCCAAAATAGCTAAAGATTTTATGGCACAACAAACTACATCCGTATCAAGTGAAAGAACTTTCTCTAGAGCTGTCGATACAATGACTAAGAAGAGAAATAGGAAGTCTTCATCCGTTCTTAAACAGACGCTGTCGTTAAATTCGTGGGATGTGAATCTTTTTACTATTACCGATAATATTTGGGAATAAATAATTTATGTATTATACTATTTAAATTGTTTATATAATATTTTTTACATTATTTATACATATATAAAATTATAATATTCGAAAATATATTAATAAAAAACAAATTATTGCGTCAATTTCAATTGATTTATCATACAATTAAATTATTATGCAGGATTTATATAGGTATAATCTCAGGTAAAAGAAATTTTACTTGAATTCTTATGAGATAAATAATAATGTAAAAAATTTTAAATAAATTTTAAAGTTTGATGCAATATCATGTTATATTATATTATATATCTCTTAAAAAATTTTCTCTATGTAGGGGAGACCTGGGTAAAGCGATTGACGAGGTAACAATATTAACGCCAATAATTTTTTAACCCTTGAGCACAAAGATTTTAAATTTGGTGTGAAGATGTATTTTTATATCTAATTTCATACCTATGTTCATCTTTTAAAAAACTTACCTGGTTTTTCTATTTTGTCAAAAAACTGTTTTTTACCCAAAAAATATAAAAATCATTCTCTAGTATATTTTGCTTTTATTAAAATATACATATCCTCAGGATTCAAATTTGGCACATATGTTCCTTAATGTATTTGTTATAAAATAAAATTTATCTGAAATCTATAGAGAAGTCACCACGCAATAACGATGTTTATAATATATGTCACCATGGGGTAATAAAGCTGTTATGGGTCAGTTAAAATATATAATTACAGTAACACCAAATAATATATTAAACGGATTCTTAGCTTGTGGCATATAATATATCCCCTAAATAAACCCAAATATATTTACAGATCAAGATTATATCTGCTGTATCTGTTCAAGAACAATGGCGAACCCTGTATATTAGTATGCAAAAATTTGTATCTGTATCTAGATGTATCTTTAAAATTGTAAATTTTTGCATCTAGATCCATTTTTAGATGATGTATTTGTATCTGCACCTAGATCCATTTAAAAAATATCTTTTAACAACTCTATTATATATATAAAATAATAGTTTGTATAATTCTTTATAAATTTGATCTTTTATATAAAATATAATTTTTAATATAAAATCGGCTCAGGAGTCGGCTCAAATGGTTTATTGAGCCGCTCTAGTCTGAGCAGTATTATACGACTACGGCTCGAGTTCAGAGTCAATAAAACTCAACTATTTAACAACACTATTCTAACTATTATCTGTACAGGTATATGCAATCTGCACACTATGGTTGAATAATTACTATATTTTTAGTTAGCAAAGAATAGACTAAAACAAGTTTTTAGCCAAAAAATATCAGTCATTGGGGATTTCTTAAAAATATAGCAGCTCAAATATACATTAAAACACTTTAATGTTAACATTTTTCTCCAGTGCAGTGCATAGTAGATTGAGCCAAATTAGCCATAACCCAATTATACTATCAAATAATGAGGGTTCCTCATATTTATAATTTCCCCCAAATTTAACTTACTCCATTTAGATAGAAATGAAGGTATCTAGCATAGCTCTCTTGAAGAATCAAAGGCCTAAATCACACAAAGTTGCAATAAGCTAGACTAACAAAGAGCACAACTCTTAGAGTTGTAAAAATCGAGCATAGAGGTAAACTATTTAATACTCAAAAAAGAAAAAGGGTATACCATCCTTTATAAATATGATTAAGTTGCCAACAAGGTCATAGTAACTCATTTTAGTTACTCCCCATTATTCTTATATAATTTAAAAAGAGAACTGTATATTCAGTTTAGGCTGGTTCATATTTTTTTGAGAAATATAAATTAAACATATTATCTATATAGGTTAAATTATTCATTTATGTCCCGAGATAGATTCCAATCTCCATACAAAATCCTAGTAAGAAAACATAATCAATTTTTCCCCTCCTCTTAATTAGGAGCATAAAATTGTAAGTGGTAATAATTATCAAAATAGAATAATAATTTTTTATTCAAATATATACATTTTAAAATTAAGTACATCTTTCATCCAGTACATTAAATTATATAAACAATTTAAAAAGTCATATGTCCTTATGAGATAAGAGGGAAGATGCACAACATTGAAATTATTTTGTAACTAAAAATTGGAGGGGAAAATTAAAAAAAATGTATTTACAAATATTATGATATATATTTTTTTAAGTGGCTTCATCATTGCCTTCATTTGTATCTTCACCCTCATCCAAAGCTGCAACATCTTCTGATTCTTCTGGCTCCCCATCATCATCATAACCTTCAATTTCTTCACCTTAACATTACAAAATATTAAAATGATAAATTTTATATGATTACCTTCTCCTTCTTCAACAACTTCATCACCTTCACTAAAAAAAATTAAAATATAACTACATCATTGTTATTTGTTAAGTTACCTATCACCAACTTCAAGACCATTTTCAGTATCCATATCAGGAACTAAGAAATATTGTAATGGATTAGGCCAGATATCATCCTTAATTATCTAAATAATTTTTAAATATAAATTAAATTTTAATCTTTATCAGGACCTCTGCAATTTCATCAGCTGACACATCACCATAAGAGAGGTACCAGGAAAAAAATGTCCGATTATCATGGGGCCTTTTTCTTGGATTTGCTAGCATGGCAGCAACATTTTTAGATAGAGCACAGTTTTCTTTCCATGTGATGGGCGTAAATAAGGACTCAGGATCACCTGTAAAAAACTATCATAAATAGAATATACAAGTAAAATACAAAACCAGATGTTCCTAGGTGAAATTCTTTGCATAATACATCATTTTGGAAAAAGGGATTTTCGTCAAAATGAAACTTTATGCGGTAGCCTGATTTAATATCTTCAAATTCTTCTACTTCAAGCTTCAAAATATGAGCTAACCTTTAGATTATAATATTTAATTTACTTTGTTGAGATAATGAAGGCATTCTTCTTCTTCTTCATCCATAATGGCGGATATTTGTGGATGATTAACAAACTATAATATCAGAACAAATATTGCGTATTTAAAATTAAGACTTACCGCTGTGACCCAAAAATTTGGTATTTTTTTGATCAGTTCATTTCTCTTTTCAAAATGAGGTTTTCTAAGTTTATTGTATTTCTGTTCAACTTTTAATATTTCTTCACTGGCCTTCTCGTTCATAAAATCAATTTCATTTTGACATGCATCAATTTCTTCAAGTGCTTTTTGCGTTTCAGCGTCATAATCTCGGGATTCCTCACCATCACCACATTCTAAGTTATTTTCCATCTTTTTACTTTTTTTAGGTGTCGTCCCACTGTTATTAGTAGTCGAAGAAGCCATCTTAGCTTAACATTAAATGGGGGGAAAGTGAATATTAAGTTAATTTAACCAAACGACAAATATGATTACGCATGCGCATCTACATTCACACACTTAATAAAATTCCCGCGTATAATAATGGAAGATTTTTTAAAAAAATACAAAATAATCCATGAAATAATCTTATAATCAATTTATATATCATATATATAAAGTATAACAATATTTAAAAATAATTATTTTATTTTATTTACCTTAAAAATTTGCGGATGAATTTAACCAATAAATGCTATAAGGAAAGGAAAATTTTTAAATGATGGCTAAATGAGTACTAACATTCAATAGGAAAATAAAATAAATAATATATAATAATTTGGTTTTAATAAAATAAAATTATAAGTTAAATTATTAATAATAATTTTTTAATTCATTTAAAATGTAACGATAATATTTCTCTAAATTATCTCAAAAAAATCTAATTAATTAAGGTGGTGATATACAAACATGATTACTTATATATAATCTATTTTTACATCTGAAAATACAAAAATATTAATAAAGTCAGTGCATTTGTAGTTTAATGCATTAAGAGTAAAAATTCAAGTTTGGACGAAGCCTGAGATGAGAATTTATTTAGTTTAAATAAGCTGTTGTGATTCCATGTAAATAATTTATCCTCTTAGCTTTGTAATTGAATATCATAGTTTCTATAACCTCTATAACATCGAGTATGGAATTAATGGTGGAGTTTATCTTACCTCATAAGATCTCTTTAGAAATATGCTGATTTGAGTATCCCCTTCTCACTTAGATGATCACTCACTAGATCCATGCGTCGTGCTGCCGACATTTTTTAAACATTTCGCGATTCCTCCGATTTAAGGCTTGGCGCTTATTTATAATATCATTTATGTTTCTTAAAATATTAGAAATAATATGACCTATTATACAAACCAGAAGCGTTGCAAGCTTCTTATAAAAGGGTGTTTTAATTTTTTTAAGAGTCTATAAATTTTATTATCTATTTATACAAAATTTATGGGAGTCTTTGTCAGAGGCCTTTTCGGCCTTGGGCTCTGTTTATATGTCTTAAGATATCTATTTTCTAGCAAATGTATTTCCTCTAACTTAAATGCTTTACTCTTGTCTTAACATAACCATAAATAAAATAACTTCATTGTAAAAGGTTTTATCTTTTAGATTTTCTTATTAAAAAATATTAGGAAATTATTTTTATCTGATTTAGCATTTTTCCATTTAATTAAAATGGAACTAATTTAAAGATGAACATAAAATTAATTGGAAAATATGTACAACTTTGTTTATTTTTAAATTAAGCACAAGAATGTATATTAGCGGCAATGTATTTTTTCCAACATTGTTATTTTTTTAACTTTAAATTATTTTTTATGAGCATTTTTTTGAATTTAAAAATCCGATTTTACCTTGAAAGGTATTTCAGCATGTTCAGATTACTTATTTTATTTCGATAATTTTGCCTTTAACCTTTGAGTCATTTTTAATTTGTATAAAAAATCTATGGAAAGCCATTCCAAAAAACTATAAATTATATTAAATTCAAAGGTTCATGTTAAAATTGTCTTGAATTCATAGGGTAGGTATTCCACAAATGTTTGAATCTTAAAAACACATTTAAAAAATGATTTAAAGTTGAAAAAACAAAATGCTAACATATTGAATTTATAATATATGTTGATTTTTCGCTATTTTGTTTTTGCTTAAAGCGAAAAAATAAAACAATAAAATAATTTAATGGCACAAAGAAAATAATATATACTTAAAATTAGCGCCAAGATTTTGTAGAAAGTATTTAAATAAAAATTAATATATTTGTTTAAATGCATGCCAATTATTAAAATATTTGGTGCTAAAAAAAGAATTCCTTAGCACCCAAAGCACTTAGCTGACAACGCCCCCGTTATACACCCCCAAAAATATTTAATATCAACAAGCAGCGTCTACATGAGCAAAGGGTCGGGGGGTGGGGGGGGGGGGTAGGAATTTTTTCTTAATTGAGCAGTCCTTTAATGGGTAGGCTAGGGGTAAGATAAATTTATTGGAAGGGGGGGGGGGGTAGTTATCTATTAAATTTATAGACAAAATAGGGCAAAATATATTGCTCTAAAAATTGATTTTATTATATACCTATTATAATAACATGATATTGGTAAACATCGATCAAATCTATATGGAAGGAAGGGAGGAAGGAAGGAAGGAATCGTCATTCCAAATAAAATATGCTTTTAGGTCAGCAACCCCAAGTAGAAACTGACGTGCTAACACTTTGGAAACGAGAAGAGCTAGAATTACCCAATTCAGCAAAATTTATTTGGAAAATCCGTCCTACCTACTAGCACCACGTGTTAACTTTCTCTTTTGCTGGTTTGATATTGAACTCAACAGATAACTTGAATAAAATTATATTTATACATGATGATTGCAAATTAATGATGTATATTCGCTTCATTTGAGTCAATTTTTAAAAACTGCTGTACTTTACCCACATAAATAGTAAGCAAGCTGAATATTTTGCTCATAAATGGCACAAAGGTTTGGACATCTATTAGCGAAATTTCTAAGCTTAAGCAATGTTTTCTGGCAACAATATTGAGTTGAGAGTTTTTAAAATTCGGATGTTTTCCCAATATACGTAGGACACCGCTTTAAATAAAATTATCTTATTTAACTATTTTATAATTAATACCTATAATATAAATAATTATATATACATTTTTATTTCAATTTTTTAATATATAAAACGTGTGAAATATCATACAAAATCATTTTAAATATACCTAATCTAAGCTATGAAAATACTTTCAGAATTAATGCAACTTGTATTCGTACTCGTAATTTTTTTATTCCTCATAATAAAGTTAATACCGGTATAAAATTTTAAACTTCATTCTGTTCCTTGATTTGTAGCTCAATTTTTTTCATATCAATTCATGGATTGGGCTAATTTAAAAAAAAATGAAGATATGAGAGTTAATTTTTATTTTATGTATCGCTTATAAATTAAAGATTTGATTTTATGCGAACAATTTAAATCGAATAGTAAAATACGAATTGTAGATTATTCCTTTTGCTCGTATGCAAATAAACAATTATTCGAATAAGATTATATAAATAAAACGAATTATTTGAATAAACGATTATAAAAATGTTTTTGATAATTTGTTTTTAAATAATAGAACATAGTATAATTTAAACAAAAATATTAACGAAATTTTATTATATAATTATTTTCAAATTTATTATAAATTACATTTGTATATTTTTAAATTTATCATAAAAAGTGGAGTACATTTGTTTATTTTCCTAGTTTCCTCGCATCATTTTAAAGCTGTATGTAATATTACCTGTCATTTTTAATTTTTCAACCAATTTTATCCAATATCAATTTTAAACCCGTAATAAAGGAATAAATTAAAATATAATAATATTTTTAAAAATTATTTTCTGATAAATTTACTTAGCATAATGAAAAATATAATGACTGATATAATTAACCTTGAAGATCAGATTAATTAAAATTTCTCCCAAAAAAGGGACCATTTTAAACAATCAAGGTTTTTAAACTCCCTTGAGCCAATGAAGCAAAGACCTCGATCAAGGGTACTTCCTTATAGAATCATTATAATTATTAATTGATATTCAGGTTTGATACTTCTACAATTTATATAATTAATAACTTGACATATGTTTAAGTACTAAATATTCACTTTTTATAATCCATCTTTTCATCTATATTATAATTTATTTTGTAATAATAATATACAAACGCACCTGAAGAAACAATAAACTGCGTATTTCAGGGATAGCAATACTTTGAAAACTCAGAAAATTATGTATCCTATTCTCTGCACTAAAATTGTCCATTTGGATATAAATAATTTTAAGAATTAACTTCAATTTTCTATGCCATTAATAATAACAATAATGCAATTAAAATAGACAATAAGTAATTAAATATTCTTAAAACATAGGCTTATGATTTAAGAATTATATAGGTAAAATATTATTTAATGTTGTTTTTCTCTAATAACGCATTTGCAACATATTCATTGTTTAGCAATAATGACTTCGCGCAAATCGCTTTATAGTGTTCGCGCTTCAGGTTCAAGGAAATGAATTCCCGAGAATGAATTAGCGACATAGGCGTGGCCAGGATTTTGCTAAGGGGGAGTGGCATATTAGGTGGAATTTTTCTCAATAATTTTATTGGAGGTCTTTAGGTCTACCTATTGTAGGCCTTTGGCTAAATTAGATTTTTCTAAAAATAATTTTGGGTTCACATTCATTTTTTATATAAATACTTTTTTCTAAAAATTTTAAATTATACAGCCTTTAAAAAATAATTAATTTTTCTTTCAGATTCTTGTTTATAGTGATATATTGGAATTTTGGAGAAAAGGGTCGGGATCTGTGTAAGGGAGAGGGCGTTTTATTTTGAAGCGAATTTCACAGACCGACCCCGTTCGGCCATATTATAATTTTTTTTAAATATATCCAGCCGGGCCTGAAATTTTCTTCAAAAAAAATACCAGGCCAGGGTGTATATTTTAAATCGCTTTTATTATCTATAAAAATTATAAATAATATAATATATTTTAAAAAAATTCGGGTCGGGCATGAAAATATAAAACCAGGGACATTTTTTAAAAAAAAAATCCGTGACAGGCCTTGCAAATGGTACTGCTGGTCTGGAGAATTTATAAAATATAATTTTTTTAAATTATAATATCACATTAATATTCCATAGATATTATGGGTTAATTCATTTAATCTTATATTTTTATATAAAATAAATTTAAAATATATTAGAAAAAATTTAAAAAAGTAATATAAAAGAATTTACAAATTATATATACTAGTAGAAAGCCAGTCAATAATGAGAGGGAATGATATTTTTATTCATTTTTTACGATAGATGTCATGCCAGGTTCAAGCTCACAATATTAGGAAGCATTTAAGATCTTATAATTTTAAAAAATTTATCAAGCTCAGCTCAACCCTTAATAATTTGTAAAAGATATTCCCAAGTCAGGTGCAAGCTAATATTAATTTTAAGGTTACAAGCCCAGTCCTACCCATTATAGCTTTGAAAATTTTTTCCCACCTCGGAGATAGTTAAATTTTTAATTGATTTATCATCACATGAAGGGGAAATATCTGATTTATCAATTAGTCTAATATGCAAAAAAAAAACATGTGAATTCCGTATTAAGGGAAACTGGGAGGACCTGGGCAAACCACTTATTAGAGAATCATGACAAATAAAATAAAAAAAACCGACTCTTATACTTTTTTGTAATATGATCAATTAAAATTATATCTAAAAAATAAAT